AGCTGCGGATAGGGACGGCAAAGCTGAGGGAGAACCGGGAAGAGGGCCAGCAAGGCGAGGGGACCCTCGGGGACAGCGAGGGATGGCACAGGGACACCAAGGCTCGGGGACGTAAGAGATGTTTGGGGACAGCAACACCCCACCCGGGGACGGCAAGAGAGGAGGACACCCCAGGGATGGGGACAAGGGGTGCTCCAGGACGCTGAGGCACAGGGGACACCCGGGACCGCGCTGAGGGGACAACGTGGCTCAGGGGGGACACAGGGACAAAGATGAGGGGACAACACGGCTCAGGGGGGACACGGGGACGAAGATGAGGGGACAATGTGGCTGAGGGGACATCCGGGACCAAAGATGAGGGGACAACGCGGCTCAGGGGGGACACGGGGACCAACATGAGGGGACAACACGGCTCAAGGGACACACAGGGATGAAGATGAAGGGACAACGCAGCTGAGGGGACATCCGGGACCGAAGATGAGGGGACAACGTGGCTCAGGGGACAACACGGCTCAGGGGACACCCGGGGACCAACATGAGGGGACAACGCGGCTCAGGGGACACACAGGGACGAAGATGAGGGGACAACGCGGCTCAGGGGGGACACGGGGACCAAGATGAGGGGACAATGTGGCTGAGGGGGGACACGGAGACCAAGATGAGGGGACAATGTGCCTCAGGGGACACACAGGGACAAAGATGAGGGGACAACGCGGCTCAGGGGACACCCGGGGACCAACACGGGGCTCAGGGGAGACCCGGGGACCAACATGAGGGGACAATGCAGCTGAGGGGACATCTGGGACCGAAGATGAGGGGACAACGCGGCTCAGGGGACACCCGGGGACCAACATGAGGGGACAACGCGGCTGAGGGGACACCCGGGGACCAGGCTGAGGGGACACCGAGGTTGCACAGAAGCCAGGGAGTGGGCACAAGGGGCCATTCCTCCCTGGTGGCGGTGGCATCCCCTCGTCCCCAAGCGCCAGCGGCACTCACCAGTAGTTGGGGGCAGAGAAGACGGTGACACATTTGCCATCGTGGGCCACCTCGTAGCCCTCGGGCTTCACCTCGTGGCTGCGGATGATGTAGTCGAGGCGGTTACGCTCCAAGAAGCTCTTGGTGACATCGGGTCCGAATTGGCAGGTGCCCCCGCCTTTGCTGACGGAGCGGCCGTTCTGCGGGAAGGCCACCGTCACCGTCACCCCGGGGGGGGGACGGACGGACGGACACACGGCGGTGGCCGTCCCCGAGGCGAGGAAGCGCTTTGGGGACCCACCACCGGGGTTCAAACTCACCT